TTTAATTTTTTTATAAGGCTGTCATTCGTTATAGTATTTCGTCAATCCTATCTCTAAATTCTCTCTTTGAAATTTTTGTTTTTTCAATAATTAAGTTTAGAATCAATTTCTTATCAAATTTATTTTCTTGATCCTTATTTTATTGAAGGATCGAGACGAATAAACTTTCATATAATATATGAAATTAATGAATATAATACAAAGATGATAGGGAAGTATTACATATTTGTTAATATCTCTATGTTATTATTAGTTGATTTGCTAGATTATACTATCAATTTAGAGCCCATATGATTTAATTCAATGTTCATGACTCTATTTGTATTCGACCATTTTTTGTTGAGTAACCGATATAATTTTTTTTGGGTTATATAATGATTAAAGCTATCATTTGTTATATTTTTTCAAGTACAATTCAAATAAAATTTTATCATTTTTTTATAAATAAAATGGATTAAAACTATTCTCTTATATAATTTTTATAATACTATGACATTCTTATCTTGATTAATTTTTTTAAAATGATGTAGGAACTATGCAAGTATTATTCAAACTATGGAGAATGATTTATACTTTGATATGATAAGAATGTGTCATTGATAGAGGAAATCAAAGATAGAGAGTTGCTAATATAATCAATTAATGATTTGTTTGAGAAGTTCTTTTTATGAGCAAGACAACAAACTTAGATTAAATTTTTTTAAAAACTACTTATAAATTATAATTAAAAGTTGATATTTATTCATAATTTGATCCCACAATAATAATATACACCACTAATTTAAAAGTCTAAGTAAATTTATGATAACTTTTCTAAGCTTATAGAATTTCTCTCTTTTAATGTTTTGTTAGTTAGTTATGTTATCAAGTGATTGTGATACTATTATTCTCAACAATTTTTATAATTAATAATTTCTTATGCATATCAAATTTTATTGTAAAATTTTGTGGGTTAATTATTGTTAACATCTACCTAGATGGCTTAATATTATGGCTTATCGCTATTAAGATATAATTTAAGATTAAGATGATTTATTTATCACACAAAATATATATAGTCTATTTTTTCATGCATCGCACGGGTTGCCGCTAGTATAAATGAGAAGATTGTGGATATAACCATAATGATTGATATCATGGTTTTATTTTATTTTTTTATAACCGAGTGTTTGGATCAATTTACGCGTATCTCGACTAAGTCAAGAGAGCCCCCTCTATATGGATCAGACAAATCTCTGGTAGAATGCTCAATCGTGACTACAAGAAATTGATAATACATGATAAGAGTTAAATCTGAGACATGAAGAGAGCATAATTACAATGCTTCTATAATAGTACAAATACAAGTTAAAATTTGAAGATTTAGCCTTGTCTTTTTCTTCACACGTGAACAACTCATTGTAAGTTCTTTTATCAACATCTAAAGCCTGAAATTTAGACAATGTAAACCCCCTTCAATTTTTTTTTTTTTTTTAATTTTTAAATAACCTTTTTTAATAAACGAATGTTCCACAACAAATTGAATATTCGTTATCATCCAAATGGAACAAACTCTTTTTATTGCCTTTGAGTCCACTTAAGAATGTTGCATGCATAATAACTTCTCCTTTTCTTTTTCTATATTATAGAACATAATACAAGACAAACACTCAAAATTCAGTATAAAAAAAAAAAAAAAAATTGCACAAGTGAAATCTTGTTAACAACCGCTTAGTTTTCCTAGTCTCTTCACACATCTGACAATTTTGATTATATATAATATTTTGATGTACTTTCAATAATATATAATTAGTAATAACTATTATACAAAGAGGTTGCAGGCAAAAAAATAAATCATACATATATTATTTTGACCAAAAGAAAAAATAATTACAGAAATACCTTATACTTGATAGACAATTAAACGTATGGATTATGAATAAAATCAAAATTGTATCGAATCGTTAAAATTCATATTTGCATACAATTTTTCAAATATCTTAGATGTACCAATATATTCTTAATTTATGTTCAAAATTATTTGTTATGAAGTACATGGTTCAAATTAAACCATAGACTAAGATCCATGCAAATTAATACTAACAAGAGTTGTCTACATTGAGAGAGGATGGCAGGTTGACAATTTATTAAACTCTTGTTTTTATTTTATTTTAGTTTTTCCTTTTTTGGTGTATTTGTGTGGATAGAAATAATATGACTTGTGTAATATTCTTTTTTCAATTTATGGGCTTCAGACCTTCTTTGTACCCAATACTTGTACCCATCACCTGTACCCATTACCTTTCCCATTATTTTCCTATTGTCACATGTCCATTGTTTCAATCTAGCTAAGGCTTATAAAATATAATTCTAACTACATAGATAAAAATTAAGAGAGAGAGAGAAATAAAAAAACAAACAAACAAATAAAAAGGCAAGCAGTGTTGTTGTTATATTGGTTTCAAGTCGGGAAAAAAAAAAATCAGTATGTTTGGTTTGAGTTTTTTGGATTAAATTTTTTGAAGATTGAATTTTTTGGTTTTCATGTTTTTTTTTTTTGTTTTTAGTGAATATTTTTAAAATTTTAAACTTTTTTTTTACTTTTTTAGATGTATCTTACTTAGCTATATCTAAAAAGTAAAAAAAATTGTGAAAAAATATTTTAAAAAATTAATAAATACATAAAAATACTAAAAATGTACTGAATTCTCGTATTTTTTTTTTTATATTTTTGATATGTAGTGAATTTTTAAAAGATTTATTTCATAAAGTTTTTACTTTTTAGGTATATTTATGTTAGGTATGTTTAAAAAGTAAAAAAAAAATGCTTAAAATATTAAAAAAATTCAATAAATAAAATTTTCTGAAAAGTATTTTTGGAAAAATGAAACCAAGCAAAGTGATTGTGCATCCTTTGGAGACAAACCAGTGTTGTATTTGATTGAAAGAAAAAACAGCATTAAGAATGTATTTCCAAGCAGAATCAATTGATTCCCTGAATGTCAATAGCATGCATGTTTGATTAATGATTACATAAAAAAAATAAAAATAATAATAAATAAAAATATCAAAAAATCAAAGGAATATCAACCAATATAATGTGATAGCGGCAATTTTGAAATTCTGAATAATAATTAAAGATGTTTTAGTGGAAAATAAAAGAAAAATAAAGGGTTACATCTTTGTGTATAGAAATTTTGTATAGAATTTATGTTTATATATAATTACCCTTATCATATGTTTAATTCACTCAAATGAGAAATGGAATGCTCATTTTGTAGCCTCCTTACAAAATTACCATTCACTTATAATGGAAAATGACAATTTCATTGGCAATATATTTTTTAATCTTTTTTTAATTGAACCAAACGCGAGAATAAATATCATAATAAAATGATAATTTCATTTCATATTCATTCTAATGAATCGAACACTACCATAAGTCTGCTATGAGAAAACTAATTGAGTAAAAAATTCACAATTTATTTCTATATTTTTCTTTGAGCAATTGCATGTATAGTTTCATTAGGATTGATTGGCTACTAATTTTAAAAATATGTGAGTTGCAAGGTTTGAAAAATGGTACTTAACCATGAAACTGAATATTCTGATATCTTTGTTTGCAAAATCGAGATTAGTACTAACTCGGTCATACATTAATCCAAGGGCACTAAAATTAGCCACTCTTTAGAGAATACTCAATAATACAGATACTTAAATATTTGTATTTAAAATTTATGTTTTGTGCTTTTTTACATGAAAAATTATTGTCAAATATAATTTTTTTAAAATTAGGGGTCTGATTGATATTTGAGCATAATTTAAGAGGTAAAATGAAATTTAAGATAAAGTTTCATGCCATTTCATGCCATATTAACAAATTTTGTATGATTGAGACAACAAGTATAATGGCAAGGTCAAATTGATCAAAAATCAAATAATTTAGATGTAAAATTAATATAATTAAAAATAAATAAAAGCTAAATTAATTTTGAATAAATTACAAATATGCCCATACAGTTTGTTTAAAATATCAATTATTCTTATAATTTTGAAAATTATATCCTGCCCCATTAAAATGTATAATTGCATAACAAATAATATATTTCATTAATTAATTATTAAGTGAATTAATACTTTTTAATAATGTCACCAATATATCTTAATTAATATTTGTGTTAATTTCATTTGTTGTAAAGGAAATAATTAGAAAATTTTAAGGGAACACACTATGATACACATTTTACATGCATCTTATAACTAAAAAAGAAAGTAATATAATGTTATATTATCTGAGTCATAATTAAAAAAAAAAATGCCATAATCAAATACAACATGAGTCATAATTAAAGAACTCATGAGTCATAACTAAAATAATGTTATTATTAAAATAAAATAAAATAAAAAGACATAATTAAGGGTGTATATTGTGCATCTCCTATTAGAACTTCCCATCAATCAATTATACTAAATAATGTTATTATTAAAGGAAAAAATAAAAAAGAAGGCATAATTAGGGGTGTGTGTTGTGCATCTCTTTTAAGGGCGTGGATGTTAGAATTTCCCATCAATCAATTATATTAAATAACAAATTCTAAAAATAGGTGTATTTTCAACTGTGCTACGTCGCTCGAAACTGAGCCGCCCCTAATCCCCCGAACCAAAAACGACGTCGTTTCGTCGTTTTTTATTTTATTTATTTATTTTTTTGGCAGAAGAAGAACGAAGCTCGGAGAAGAAGAAGGAAGAAAGAAGGGAGGGAGGGAGGGAAGGAGGAGGAGGGACTGGAGGGGGCATAATATTCGGGGGAGGAGGAGGTGGAGGTGGGGCGACGGCGGGGAGGAGGAGCTGCTGCTGCTGCTGCGACGAGAGGCAGAGGCGGGGCGACGGCGGGGAGGAGGAGCTGGCGGTGAGGCGACGGCGGCGGGCGACGAGACGATCAAAGCTCTCCTCTCCTCTCTCTTTCTCTCTCTCTCTCTCTCTCCTCCTCTCCTCCTCTCCTCTTTCTCTCTTCTCTTTCTCTCCCTCTCCTCTTCCTCTCTGCAGACTGAAAATCGAAGGAAAAAAAGAAAAGGAAAAAAAAAAAAAACCTAATGCCCAAAACGAGAGGGCAGGAATTTTCGAGCTCTCAAACATTATTCGTGTATTTTATGGTCTATTGGGATTGAGGCAAGTCTGTTGTTATCGTTATTAGAGTATCTCTAAGGTACTCTTTAAATTAGTTTTGTTAGCTATTATAGCTAGTGTTATTATATTTTGGGTGGTTGGAGCTGTTGCAGAGTTCTAATTAGAGCTTCTGTCGTACAGCTCTAATGAGCTGTTCAGGAATTAAAAAAAAAAAAATAGTGAAGTAACAGATAAAAAAAAGGAAGAAAAAGACAAATTAGAGCTCTATTAGAGGTGTTTTTTTAGAGGTCTAAATCATTTTTCTTTGGGTGGTAATTAAGAGCTCTAATAATAGAGCTCTAATAAGAGCACTGTGTCATGGCAACCTTAAAAAAAAAAAGGTAAAAATATCAAATCACACAGTGGGGCCCACAGGTTAGAGCTCTTCTAGAACTCACAATTTAGAGGTTTGAAGCATTTTTCTTATATTTTAGTCACTCCAATTAACTAACTATTACACTAATTATTTTAACAAAAATTTTGAAAGCTAGTTTTATTCGAAGAGTTTTGAGAGATTCTTTAAACAATTTAGGTATATAAATAGACAAAATAAAAAGTAATATTAAAGTACATAAATAAAAAAGAATTAAATAAATAAAATTACTTATATATATATATATATTTTTTTTTTTTAAACTTTTTTTTTATATTTTAACTAGTAAAATATTTTTAATTTTTTTTATATTTTAACTAGTAAAGAATGAAGAATATAGTTGGCGTTGCTCTTATGGTGAGGAGGGATAGGGTTTCGCAAGATGAAGGAGAGCGAGAGAAGAGGCTCAGAAGTACGATGGAGTGATCAAGTCGAGCGAGGCATAATAATAATATTTTGTTTTCTTCTTCTTCTTCTTCTTCTTCTTCTTCTTCTTCTAAATTAATTAATTAGTTCAATTTGATTTGTGTCCTATTCTATTCTGATGATTTTAATGTAAAATTATTATTTGTTTGTATGTACAAGTACCCAATTGGATGAGACATCCCGACCGTTTCAGGACATCAAGTCCGGTGCAATTTTTGCCATTGTCCAGTTCAACAGTGACAAAGTATGTGAGCAAATACATATTTATTTCTTTTACATACTACTGTTTTACATGCTGTGATCTTTGAAACGCGAGTGTTTGTTGGAGTAACTGAGACCGAAGTAGATTTACGCAGCATTAAGCAAAAAATATAATTGCACATGGGAATGTTTTTTCATTTATTATTTGTACTCAATACGCTTGTATTTTTTATTTCTTGCATTGGATTGCACTAATAATTTAGGTTCTACAATGTTTAGTAAAATACAAAAATATCTCATCTTTCAATTTTCAATATGACATTGGTTGTTGGAACAATGTGATTTTTGATAGCCTAGTGCATAATCAATAAACTCAATAGCATAATATATTACCCTTTGAGGGGATGATGAGAAAAGGGATGCAACTTATTGGTCTCAACCTATTTTTGAAGAATGACTTTAGCAATGACTATTCTATAAGTAGGGAAGAAGTGAATTTTGGTGTTGTTGAGGTGATATCTTTCTAACATTTTTCCTCTTGCAACATTGTTTGTTTTGAAGGGGAGGAACATCTTGAGTTACCAATTAGGTCTTTTGGTTTTGAAAACTGAATAGTATGAGTGGGTGGTGAATACTTCTAACCTTGGGGTATCATCTGGCTCGATGGGGATGCCATGGACTTGTTTGATGAAATCAGGAGAAGGTTGTTTGCAGAGCAGGGGAGTCTAAGAGAAGGAAGAAATGGATCGATAAAAGTTAGAAAAAGATTTAGAAGTTAGACAATAGGTTGAATTTTGAGGGTAAAGTGAAAGGGGTAGTTAGAGTGGTGATAGAAAGCATTGTGAGAGTTGTCTATAAAGATGTGGCGTTTCTTATGGAAACATTTTCTTTTTTGAATATTTCATATCAATGGTGAAGCCTTCCGCATGTGCCTTCTTCATTTTTTTCTCCTCCCCATGAAAATTGCACTTTTACCTATAATTGAAAAATATTATCCAATTTTTGGTCCTTTGAAGTTTCCAGTATATCCTGCTAAATTTTTATACCTCATCTTTTTATTTTCTTTTTCATTTTTTTTCCTTCTTTTCTACAAAATCCCTGCAATTTGTCACTTCAATTGTTTAATTTTGCTAAAATCTTCTCTTATAATTGTTCTATTATTTCAATCTTCCCTCTTTGTTTGTGTAATTCTGCCCTCATTTTCAATGGAGTACTGTAGAAGTAATACAAAAGTGACAATGCTTATAATCAGAGGAGGAAAAAGTAGAAGCAGCTTTGAAGATCCAGGAATAGGAGTAATGCACTGTTTTTGTAACTTTAGATTGTTAGATTAATCAAAGTGTTACTTTCTTTCCTTCATTTCCTTTTTTTATCATCTTTGGTAAGTTTCTTACACTGCACAATAACCGCAAGGTATCATGAATGTTTCAACAAGACTTTTGGAAGGCAGCAACACAAGCCGAGAAGGGAGAAAAGGAGGTGACACGGAAACCGAAGTTGATAAGGCATTGTTTCGCAATAAGTTCTAAACTTCTAGGTACGTTTTTAGATTTACTATATTGTTTATTTATAATATTTTTGTGATCTATTTTTTGATAAAACCGTGTAACTCTAGCCTGTACTTATGGAATGACATGGATTTTCTTACCCAAAATTCCATCCAAAACACTTTCAATTGCACAATTGTGTCTCGAGACTTCCGTATTTTGAGATTGTTGGCACATCGTACGGTTAATTGTTCATTAAGTGTAGCATCCAAAACACTTTCAATTGCACAATTGTGTCTCGAGACTTCCGTATTTTGAGATTGTTGGCACATCGTATGCCGACTTCTTCTTGAAAAGAAGGGAATATGAGATTTTGGCTATAGAAATTCCCCAACTTTATGGCAATACTACCCCCACCCCAAACAATGTCGGATGGGTTGATGCTGTGCCATCATTTAAAACATTACAAGAATCATGTCAAATAAGTTAGGATTAGAAAAATTCTAGTAAAGATCATGTATTTTTTGGCTTACCAATCCCCATGCCTGTGTTCGAGGGATGGACACTGACCTGGACAAAATTTAATAAAACCTTTTTCTTTTATTTTATTTGTATTTCCCCTATGCTTTTTTGTTACCTGTGTTGTATCAGTGAGGATTGAGGGGTGAGTCCCCTTCACCCTTTCTCATTTTAATGAAATTTTTCTTAAAAATGTCATTTAATTTGTTTCTTCTCTACCATGTTCACAAATTTCTTTGTATGTTTCTTGTAGCTTTTTTTTTTTTTTTTTTTTTTTTTTTTTGATCGGCTAAAAAAGACTTTATTGACGGAAAGATTATGTACAAGCATACGATCATCACCAATAAAGAGGGTTGGATGCAAAGGGTATCATAGCAAAGTTAAACCATCCCAACTAGGTTGCCATTGCATAACTAGCAACAATCATATACCAGCATGCCACCAGGTAGGTGAGACACCAACCAACAAGAAGGAAAGCAAACAAAGCAAAGGGGGGATGGCACAGTAAACAATCATGGCCTCATAGTAACACCCAACAAGCACTGCACAGCAGAGAATCACACTAGCACTCTACCACCAATGCAAACTCTGATTTGCTTCATGTTTAAAATGAAGTCATTGAATGAAAAATGAGCTAGTTTAGGTGATAACTTCACCCAAATAGCAACTCTTTTCTTGACCAACTCAATAACTTCATCGTGGCTAGGATTTGAGTCTTTAAATCTACACTCATTTTGAGCTTCCAAATGGACCACAAAACTGCTAGAGGAATAGTTCTCCAAATCACTTTCTCAGATTTCCTGACTTTGACACCATCCCACCAATGAAGCAACCCTTCCACTGAATCTGGTAATGCCCCAAAAATACCCCACCACTGCAGCATAGCAGCCCAGATTTTCCAAGAGAAGGGGCAGACTAGGGGAACATGACAAGCAGATTCAGACTCAGCTTTGCATAGAATACATACAGTAGATGCATTGCTATACAAGACTCCAATTTTCTGCAAAAATTCAGCAGATTTGATTCTAATCTTCCAATCCAGCCATCCAAAATATTGGACTTTGGTGGAGTAGGCTTAGACCAAACCAATTTCTGTGCATGCTGGAATCTCATGGAGTCCGAATGTTCTTTGTGCTATTATTATTTTTCTTATTGTTTCAAGGCTGTGAAAGTAGAGCTATTTGGACAATATGATGTTTTGTAATTTGAATTTGAACTTTTAGACAATGTGATGTATTAAGTAGTAATTTATTATTATTATTTTTTGCAATACTATCAATACACCAGTCATTTATGTTGTGTAATTTGTTTTTCCCTGATAAATATAATGTTGTGTAATTAAAACAAAACTAGGAATGTGACTTGGATAAGGCTTGCCATATTACAAATAATTCAACTATAGCAGGATTTGCTCATAGGTCCAAATTACAGCCCATACATACGGGCACAATGGGCCGGTCTAGGATTAGAATTTTGTTTAGGGCTGGATTTGGGATAGCCGAAGTAGACCCAATATGGGGTCACGTGTCACAAACCGACTCTTCTGAGTACACAACAGAACTAACTCTCTCAAAATCAACAAATTGGGAAGACTTCCAAGTGAGCGCCCAAAATTAGGAAGTTGGGCTAGCAAGTTTTCAACAAACTTCTATCCTTGAAAACTCTCCAACTCCAAATTAAGATTATTAAAATTGATACAGGGAAGAAAAGAAAAGAAACTGCTTAGGATTCACCCACAACATAAGAAGAATACTAGGTAGAGGTCTAACTTCGAGTTAACAGAATTCAGGTAAGGCTTTGGTCAATAAATGGCGTAGTGTCTACCATGAAAATTCAACTATTAAAGGACTTGCACATCCAGTTTAGAGTATACATAGTTTGTCTTCTTGAAACAAAAGCTAGGGAAAATAAAGTTGAAGAAACTAGAGGAGTGTTGAACCATAATCAACAATTCTTGATTATTTTTAAAATCAGAAACTACCCATCTTCTGAAAAATCCAAACCAAATCCTATGATTTGAACCAGTCCGGACCAATTTACCAGTTCCTATAAAAAAATTGCTGCCAACAAGTCACAAACTTTTGCAGGTAAGGTTTGCAACAAAGTTGATTTTATCGTGTTAACATATGTATCTTAATTCAATATAATAAATTCATTCCAAATACTGCCTAATAAAGGGTCACTACTAAAATTTCAGCTTTTTGCGACGGCATACTCCGAATGCCGTCGCAAAAAACTTTTTGCGACGGCAAGAGGGGGGTCGCAACTGGAGGCGTTGCAAAAGAGTTTTTGCGACGGCATAGTGCCGTCGCTAATGTTTTGCGACGGCAATCTTTTGCTTTTTGCGACGGCACTTTACAGTCGCTAATAATGTTTGAAATTTTTTGACTTTTTGCGACGGCACTATTTTACAGTCGCTAAAAATGTTATTTGAGATGGCAAAAAATGCCGTCGCTAATAGTCTTTTTTTTGGCAACGGCAAGAACATTGTTTTTGCGACGGTGTGGTGCCGTCGCAAAAAGTATTAAAAATATGAAAATTTCTATTTTTTGCGACAGTGTACTGTCGTCGCAAAGAGTATTAAAAAATAATAAAATTTTTATTTTTTGCGACAGTTTAGTGTTGTCGCAAAAAGTAAAACATGTATCAAAATCAATAAAAATATTAAAATTTTCTATTTTTTGTGACGGTGTAGTGCCGTCACAAAAAAGAAAAAAACATCCTGCAATAAAATTATTAAAAATATTAAAATTTCTCCATAATAATTGCGTAATAATATAAAAATTCCTATATAAAAATAACAATTTCTCCATAATAAAATATTCTTCCATTCATAATTACGCATCAACAAAATTATCTCACTACATAATGTTTCATAATACATATATAATGTTTAAATACATGATTTTGTTCATAATTCAAAATAACGTAAACTAAAATTAAATGTTTTTCTCATCATTCTTCGTAGATAACAAAAACAAAAGTTAGTCACATTCTCCATAGATTTGCATTCCACAAGAAGCACACTCCTATATGAGAAATATCTGAAAAATAAAAATAATTAATGACAATATAATTATGTGTTAATGTTAATTACAAAAAAAAACATAAAAATTTAACTACTATAGCATCAAATACAACATTTTTTTTTTGTTAGTCATCAAATCCCACATGGATAATTAAACATCTCAATCAAATACAAAAATAAAAATTTAACTACTATAGCATCAAATACAAAAAAAATATAAAAATTATATCTAAAATCTGACTCTAACTCCCAACAACATCAAATACAACATTTTTTTTGTTAGTTATCAAATCCCACATGGATAATTAAACGTCTCAATCAACAATGAGAACAGATGCATTTCTGAGAAAATTAAGCAATGGAAATAAGTTATGACACCTTCAAAGAAATGTCAGCCTTCTAGTATCTATACAAAAGTTCATCATCCTTCAATTAATTGGCACATAGGCATTTTTTTTTGTTTTTTAGCTGGATTCTGGATGGATTCATCATCATTAGTCTTCGTAGTCACGTTTTTGTTAAAACAGTTGAGTGTTTCCTACAAAAAAAATTGGGGATTTTTTTTTTTTAAACAAATGCATCAAGCCAAATGGCAGTGCACATCCAGGACAGTGACTTTAAAATGCCTCCTCAACATAACAAATAAACACCAAGTAGAAATCAATAAGAGGGCGGAAAATTCAGACACTCAAAACATTTAAGCCCTCTAGGACATGTAGGGGGCATGCACGGGCGTGCATGCAGGAAACTACCTTCCCTTTGCCACTGTGAAACTTCTTAATTTTTTCACCCCGCCCTGTTATAGCCTGGTTAAATTGTAGACCCCGTATTAGTTAAGGTGCTAAATTACTATTCTAACTACTTAACAAAGAAATAGCACACTGCCCAATAACAAGCATAGCATTGGCATGGTGTGAAACACCAGGGAAGCAAATATATACTTATAAATCAAATCCAGATGGAAACAAAATCTGATCTGTCAACATTTAGCCCTACAATCTAGCTCTAACTCATCTTATTAATAAAAACCTTATTATATTTTCCACAGATGTATTTAAAGTTGAAAAAACAAGTAATGAATACAAAAAAGAAAAAGAAAAAAAAGATAAGGTTAAATAATAGGAGCCTGATTCAAGTTTCAACCCACCATCTCCAGCAAGTATCACCCAAATTTTCCCTTTAGCAAAAACCACTATGTAAACCCTTTATTTCAATAAGGTAGCTTACTAGCTTGGATGCGATATCAAAAGTTGCCAGCTTCCAAAATCTAATAGTCATTCACTGAAGATCAGCACCACCCAGATCAGACAAGATGTAAGAGCAAGGAACTGCATAGAAGATTCTCTCACATGCGGCAAGTTTTGATTAGCAAGACTGCCAATTTTTTGTGGTTCAACTAGAATTTTAAGCCAATTACGAAACCTTAAAAATTCACAACATGCCTAAGCAAGGCTACTGCATACCCATGCACAGCATTGAACACAAAATTGTTACTCACAATTGTTGGACTTGCCAATGACCAATCAAGATAGAAGGATAGCAGAAACTTAAACAAAAATTAACAAATACGAATATTGTTTTACACACTTGTTTTTTGATTGATTAGTAATACTTCTTTTCATTCAGACCAACCTTGGTTTCTTTAAAAATTAACAGCTTGAATTTTAGGCCTAAATGATGATAGCATAAAATTAGTGATCTTTCAGGAATTTCACATTTTAACAAAAATCATTTTACAGCAACTTATATCCGTCCCCAAGTAGTTTAGAAAACAAGCTCGTATGGATTCATGTCCTACATTTTATTTTTCAAAACATATTATTAACAATATTAGTAGCATAAAATTTCCCCCAACACATGTTGATAGCTAATTCACTAAAACATAAGACGAAAGTAGGCCTTAGGGATCCGACAGTGCCATGTGGAAGGCCCGTCGCTCAACGGTTAAAAGTTACTCTAGGGATAATAGGCCGAAGGACATTTTCTATTTTGCCAAACACCACAAAATAACAATGATTTCTACGTTCAGGCAAATAAATACACATGAGAAACCTAGAACCATACCTTATAGCAGCCTGATGAGCATCCTGAGCATTCCCTGTTTAAGACAAAAAAGGATAAATTCCAATTGAACAGTGAATCTATCCTGCCAACAATTGAAAGGTTGAAGAGCATACTCAATGCGAATAAAATGCACATTAGCAAGAGAATCAGTGCCTAAAACACATAAACCTTTTAGACAATGTTTGGAATAATGCCTTGCAGTTTCAACCAAAAATTAGGCATCTAAATTGCAAAATAAAATTTTTTGCCAAAGCAACCAGATGATGATGCTCACGAATGTGTTGAGTTTGACTTCATTTGTAAGTGAGAAATTCCCATTACCTTTAGAATATTGTCACAAAAAATATAGATATTTCACAAACGCATGAGAAAACACAATTTAACCAATCCTGATAGCTAACCATCAGCATTTGAACATCCCCTTCCAAGTAATGAATGAATGGTAAAACAGTAGGACCTTTTTAGTAAGCATAAAACAATAAGAAAATAGCATAGTAATATCCCTTTCCACAAAATAAAGACACAACGACACTAATACTCAATTCTAAAAAGACAAGAAGAAGCATATCTGAGTCATGCTCCTATATGTCCAAGATCATTAACTATAGGTGGCTTTTGTCTACTGCATACGTGGATAATAATAATTCAAATGTGCCTTGTAGCACACTACATAGACTACTGGTATTTGATTTTAATTGGATTGCAAAATATTTAGTACAAAACTAGATATAGACTTCCTTCACAAATAGCAAAACAAAAAAACATTTCATGGATAGTTTCTTTCTTGTAAAAAATTATTTTAATGTCTCAATTTATTTATTTATTATTTATTTCAATAGGAAAGCACCAACATTTACCACCTATTTCTAGTCCAAATCACATTAGGCATAAATCAAAATAAGACAAACTTCAAAACAAAATAATGAAGGATGCTTCATAAAGAGGTGGAAGGAACTGAGAAAAAAATAGAGAGCAAAAAAGCAATAGCAACAAAATAAACAAACACGGGCATTGAAAGGAACTTGTAATTTTGCAACACGTACAACAAACTTTTCTAGATTGTACCTTCATTGGCCGATTTTTCATTGATCCAATCCTTTTCATCCAGATTTCATAAACATGTTGGATCTTGGTTGAGTCGATACAGTCCTTTTGCTTATGCTTGAGAAGCTCCATTGCAACCTATGAAATTTGTGCACAAGTATCACATAAAACTATTCATGCCATCTCG